ATGCATGTAAAAACGCAACACCGTCAACACACATAACGCGTGACCGATTTCGTAACTGCAACTGTTTGTCTATGTTTCAAACCACAGTATTTCGATCTCATTTGTTTCCAGTCGGCTTCACATCCGATGCGGAACCGATTTAACAGGGGAACCCTCGTTCTGCTATTGCAATCCCTCAAAAACATCAATAGTATCGTAAAAATAGTTCCGGTAGTTAAATGCAAAATGGATTTGCTTTAAAGTTACTCAAAAAGTTGCACGCTCGGGAACCTCAGGATCTGTCAGTGAGTGGTAATACATATTGAAAGATGTGGCTGATTACCAAAAACAGTCCTATCAACGGACTTCCTGGGATAATATGGACATCGCGCGACGACAGAATCATTGTCCTGTGACTTATTTGGCACACAGTCAGTCAGACGTGTATAATATATAACACACATAAGACTTTCTACAAAACTGAAAGAAGAAAAGTGAAACATTCTAACGAACGCTGAATTCGGAATAAACACGTAATAAATTCCACGGTTAATGGCTGTCGAAATTGCCCTGGAAACTGACCAGATCGGTAGACGAAACACAGCCACTGGAATCGGAGCTCAGACATGCAAGGTCGATTGGTATGCACAGATAGCGGTACTGAGCCGCTAGCGAATAGTGATAATGACATCTCCTAAGCTATTTCTACGCTAATAACTCCCATTCTCCCTTTTTTACTCTTATACTTATGTGATTTTTAAAATAATTCCTTGAGTGTTTGATTTTACTTTTACTTTTTAAACTCATCTCCCCAAAATCTGATGAACCATCTGTCGTATGTTGAGATTTTACATTGGTATGCTCTTTGTGCAATCAGTTAGGAGTAAATAATACTCTCCACAAATTATCGGTTCACAAATAAAGCTGCATAATTCATTACTTTTTATTCCAAACTGAGATCTCAGGGTCTTATCGAAACCAGGGGAATAGGATTGACAATAGGCTATATGCACTCTTGGTGATCACATAGGAAATCCAACACAGTTTTGTTATTGCTGCATCAGGCAGAAACCATTATCTTATTTTGGTTCAATTAGCCTTTACATATTCTGTGTAAATGAAACGTCCTAGAGATTCACTCGCCTTCCGCCTCCTCAGGTGTGTTGCGTCACTTAGTGCTACCAGCAACTATTTAGACTCCACGCCTGATAATTAATCTTTTTCACCACATTTCATAGGCTTCCAACATGATAACTTCACTGCCGCGTTTCCTTGATTTATGGCATCAACGGCTATCTAAAATCTTGACAAAGCTACAAGCAGTACCTAAATACTTGTACATGCATGTTCAGTAATGTTTGGGACTGATGCAGACCATTTATCCAGCATGCAATATGCTACAAAATTAACTGACAATGAAGAAAGAATTTGTTTTTAAAAAATTAATCCAATAGCGCAATTTTTGGAGACTGTATTTGTTGTTATGTTAGCTTGTTTTATTTATGAAAAACTGAGGGATTTTTTTATCTACATCAATAGATTTCATTTTATGCTAAATGAGTATCAAAGACTATAAGAAAACCTTATGCAAAATCTGTATCATAAGTAACGTGTCAATCTTAATTGAGAAAAACTGCGTCCGTAGTTGCAAATAATAAAAAACTCTTTGGTGTCCATTTATCCCTACCACGTTAGCCATCATATGTTCCACGGTTTTCGTTTAGGCACAAAAAATACCGTACTCTTTTATTTGATTCAATTATTNTAATCTTTGTTTTTTTGAAGTTATTTCGTCGTCGTCGTCCTAAAACTATTTCATCTCATTAGATTTTCTGAAGAAATCAATGGGAAACGTTCTGATAAAAGTTATCTTTTGACAAACCATGGTCTCCTCCCATATTTGTAAGAAGTGGTTTAAATTTGTATCGGTCATCATTGAGTTTCTTCAGCAAAGAAGATGAAATATTTTCTGCAAAATAAATCAAACACATTACACATATGCAGATTACCTACTGGAACCGTCTAGATATATAAGTGAAACATGTCTGCTTCCAGACGACAACCACTGCGTAAACGAGCAGCACAATAATCCGCACGCTTCATTTTTGATCTACCAAATAAACCTAATTTAGTAAACCAAACGAATCTAAGTGCATTGTTGTTAATGATAAATAGCAAAGAAAATATAACTATTCACATCACTGAAGTGAAACCGGTGGAGTAGAGTAGCCTAGAGATTTTCACAATCATAAATGTAACGTAGAATAGTGTCAGCTCGCGTACAGTGGCGTTCGTGCATCCACTCAGTTTCTTTGAACCTTGGCCCACCGAAATTCTCCATTTTCTCTGCCACTCTACTGTCAACTTTCCTTTATTTCTCTTACTGCCTAATACAAATGAGCAACCAAAAGACAGCAACCAAAACCGGTGCAGGAAAGTGTACGGATAATGGTTTAACAAATGTAAATGAACCAAGCTGAACATAGAACAGACATTCACTGGTAACGTCTTTAAATGTTGTATAGCTCTGACTGCGTTCATTTTGATTCCGATTCATGAAACTTAGAAATTTCATCAATCAGTACATATCAACACAATATTACTTATGTTCTATCCGGGATGCATCAATTGAAATTCAAATTATTACAAACATGTCCTTACTTCTAAATCGCATATGCAACAAGCAGCACATTTTTTCCATCGTACAGAACTGCCTTATAATTAGAGTGAATGTAAAAGTTAAGTAATTAGAGTGAAATAATCCAAAATAATGAAACAAATTTGCTCGTCGTTAAACGTTTAGCATTCCTTGTCTGATGAGTCTAGTAGATACCAGCTACCCTTCTAAACAGTGCTGATTGAACAGAAGGATACAGACTGCAGCTTATATCACCACCATTGGTGGCATCCCGGTTCGAGATTTAAACGCTGCTACCGCCAACGACTGCTGACAGTAGGCATCTACAATAAATATCCTCTCAACCCTATTGAGGTCGTTTTCGGATCCACACTCTAAGTCTTAGTGCTCACATAGCTAAACGGTATGGGGTCAAGATTACTGGGTATACCACTTCCACTTTTCACCACACAGTCTTGAGTAATTCGATGGAGTAAAGTCTCCCTATGAAAAAAGAACTTGTACAGTTCTCACCCAGAGCAGTTCACAAAAGGAACCCGTTTACTGAGTCATCACATATCAGCCAAAGGCTTCAATAGCAACAAAACGTATACAAACTTGTCATGATACTATCATGATGTGGTCACATGTGCACGCAGGTGGAGGGCTACTTTGTTGAAAACATAAAATGCTATTTCACACCATTCCACTCATCTAATTGAATCAATTCTTTTTCTTTCAAATTCTTCTTATTTCTTTGCTAATAAATTTGAGTAAGAGTTCCTAAGAAGGTGATATTGTTGTTTACTTACTTATACTTCTTTAGTATTCGCTGTTTTGATGATTCAAGCCCTTCCATCAAAAAGCGTTCCTTATGTAGCTAGAGAACAAAGCTACTCCGAATCACAAGTCACATAATGTTTCAGAGACCTCAGATAAACGCTTATCTTCCAAAAAGCTGTACGAGTGTGTTGAATCTGTAGATATTGAGGTCAAATGAATTGAATAGTGGATGAACATTACAATAGATTTCAGTTCCTTCTGTGTAATCGTTAACCGCTCAATTTCGTACGTTGGTTTTGATTCCTTTCCGTTGGCTGGCAGAGTAAGGGAGATGGGATAATTGAAAGTAAAGTGGAAGAGAGAATGTAAAATTTCAGTAGACTAAGATTGCAAAGAAGTCGAGACGAAGAGTAATGAAAATTATCCATGAGTAGAAACGAAAGGCCAATAAGAAGCATAGTTTGTGATTATATTACGTACAATAGATAGATATATCTTGCCAGAAATATGCGCTTGGTTCAAACTTCCCATATGTCTTAACTTCGCATCTGGAAATAATTCATAAACATAATCGTGTTTTTTCACATCTCGGTATCCTCAATGACACCACCTGTAAACACATGTATGCACATAACCATTCCATTAGTTTTGTGAATGTTTATTTGTTCGTTTGTTTGTTTTGATCTTGACAATTATCCGCTTCCTTAAAATAGTGTGCGGAACTATTATTTTGCAGAATATAGTTTCAGTTACAAACTTTCCTTCGAATCGATCATGTGTTGTTTTGTAGTAACGGTTGCAGAGAAAATTAAACTCAGCTACACAAACAACAAATATAAAAAAATGAAGTATTTTACCGCCAAAAAACACTGACATTTCATAAGCATTTTTTAATTTTAATTTTTCAAGTTGTAATCTGCTCGGACAAACACTTCCTTAACAGATATATCTATTATGACGAGATGGTATTCACCGGAGTGGTGGGCACGTTGCGAACCCTATATGCCGCGAGAAAGTATTGTTTCTACGATTTGGCACGGGCTTGTGTCAACTACCTGGAGAACAATGTTTGTATTGAACATGTGCTTAAACTGCTCAAGGCCAGTTTTGATTTTAATGAGCCCCGATTGCGCAGTCTCTGCATGCGTCTGATCATCAACGACACGTTTGAGGTGTTAAAACGTGCCGAATTCAAAGATGTGCATCGGGATCTGATAGTGCAAATCCTGCAACAGGATGTGTTAAACATTCGCGAGATCGAACTGTTTGATCAGGTGATGCATTGGGCCGAGAACGAGTGTGAACGCATTGGAATCCCTGTCACCGCCATGAATCAGCGTATTGCCTTGGGTAATCACAACTTTGCCAATATCCGTTTTCCCACAATCCTGCCCCATGAGTTTGCTACACATGTGGTAGAAAGTGGTGCCCTAAAAACAGACGAGATTATTTCCATTCTGCAATATCACATCACAGGTAAGTTTTTGAGAGTTACATTCATATTTTATATCCTAATATGACGAATCCATTTATCAAAAAATGGGACGTGATTACCTTATGGGTAGTGATAGTTTGAGAACTGTTTTCTATTTCAAGTGACTGGAATCCCTTGGAATAGGGATCTCTAGCAATGGCACAGATAGGTTTCGGAATAGGTATAGCCTGGTAATAAACTGTTTATTTGCACTGTACCAATACTAACTGGCAAGCTAAACATGAGAAGGGTTTCGATAGCAACTTTGATTAACTTGGAATAGTTAAATGTCAGTAGTGTGCACCGCTCAGGTGATTGAGTCTCATCTGCAAGTGACAAAAGCGTACAAGTTATTCCTTGCAAAATCTAAAACTTCCACTTTTTCACCATTTCATCTCATCTGCGCCCAGTTAAATGTCAACATTTTGACCAAAAGGTGCGATAGGTTTCACTTCAGATGTCACCATGGTTTAGTTACTCATGAGTAGACAATAAAGAAACTTTGAAACATTCGCAGAATAAAACCGCATTCCAAGTGGTGATAATCACTCCAGTAGGAGTATCATGTGCTTTAAATCGAAGAATACAGAGACCTCAATGTCATTTAGGACTAATTTTGCCCAAAAAATTGGAAACTGGCCTAATGTTTCTGGAAGATTTTCTAAAGCTATATGTCAAACAAGCGTATTTTCCCAACTTCGTGTTCGGGAATTAACAATTGTGTATTTTAGATCACAAAAGATTTCCATTGTTCTGTCGGGGAAGTCTGAAAGAGGCAGATTTGTTTCTTCGGTACTTCTCATCAGGCCAATACAGCACACCCAATCGAACATTTATAGACATAACATATAGCGGGATAATCCGTAACGTAATTACTCATACAGTTATTGTGACGATTGATGTTGAGGACTGTGTCTGGATGAACCAGTCAAGGATGAGTCAAACTGATGTGTCTGTTTCACAATCTTACTGGTCTTAGGCCAGGACAGCGCTAGGGTTTTGATAAATTGTTTTGCGAACACAGTCTTGGTTGGTTTAGCCTGATCGCGGTCGCTTCGGCTGTGCACAGAATTCTTTGTCTCACCCCTTTTGATCGGTTATACGCTACCCGGTAGATGACCTTTAATGCCTCTTACGTGTCAGTTCGTGACCCGTGTCAAGTGCTAGGACGGCACTAGTGGCAATTTTATGGATCCCTTTTGAAAGCCAAGCTGGACAGTGTTTTTGAATCCTCTCTGACAATCGTCCAGTGGTCCTTCCTACGTATTCCGCTTCAGAAGAGCACGAATAAGAGTACACCCAAAATGAGGTAGACTGATTACGCAACTTGTTTTTGAGTTGTAACAGCAGTATGGGCTTCGTAGTAAACGACGGACAGAGTTTAGCAGCAAAGTAAGTTTTTCCAATGGCTTGGAATAATCGACGAGTTATCGTTCGGCTAGCATATCCCCCTTGAAATAAATTGTTGCATAAACCCTTTTCTTAGGGACCGTAGAATGACCGGAATGAGATTCAGTCGCAGTGTGCCTTTTGATGAAGCTTTCTGGATAGCCGTAGTCTCTTAACGTGTTGTCTATCAGAAGTAGTTCATCTGGAATCTTGCTGGCGGAGCAGGTTTATCTAACTCTACGAACCAGACAACGCACCAAATTTTTCTGTTGCATTGGTACGAAGCTCTGAAAATGTGTGTATTGCCCGCTCGAAGTAGGCTTGTGGTATACACTCCTCTCGATTCCCACGTCGATCTTCCTTCTTAGAAGAACACCCAGTGAATCAGCATACCCTAGCTCCATGGTGAAGTGGAGATTAGGATGAGATTCATTGAACATTCGCGGGATTTCATCCACTTCAATGTTTGACGGTACCAAACAGAAGACATCATCGACGTAGCGCCTGTACATGTTCATCCGTGTGATGATCGGTCTTAGGGTGCTACTCTCAGTCTATGCCATGAATATATCTGCGAGTAGTGGACCAAGCGGAGACCCCACTGCTGTGCAATCCTTCTGTCTACAAATGGTACCACCGAACTGGAATTGTACGTTCGCGGTGCAAAACGTAAGAAGTTCTTCACAGATATGGACTGGTTTGTCTATGTTGATACCGTTATTGAAGAAGAAGTGACAAATATAGTCCATCTTTTCTGTGAGAGGGACATTTGTGAACAGAGAGGTCATGTCTAATGACAACGTCTTTTGATTTGCCACATTTATTTCTCAAACTGCGTTAACAAACCTGAAAGAGTCCAGTAAGCTGTGTGATAACAGCTTCCGCCTGGCAGGTTCAAGTAATTCGGCTAACCAACGAGTAATCAAATAGTAGGGTGAAACCAGACATATCTAGAATGGCCTAAGGCCAGTAAGATAATGAAACAAACACATCAGTTTGACTCATCCTTTTTTCTTTTCGTTTTCTTTTTAATTTTGCTTCCTTTTATTTAATACACAATGGTACAATTTTCGGGAAGGGGAAAGTGACCAATCAAAGGGCTGCCATGAGGAAAGTCAGGCGGTGGTGGTGGGGTTCCAACGCACGTCCCCCAAGGTGGTAATTTAGTGACATTACCACCAGGCAACCACCGCCCCTTGACTGGTCCAGCCGGACACAGTCCTCAACATCAAGCATCACAATAGTTGTATGAGTACTTACACTACGGATTATCCCGCTGTGTTGTGTCTATACATGTTCAATTGTGTATTTATAAATAATATAGAACTCAACCTGAATTGCAGATCAAAATAAATAGGAAAGTAAAAGATTGCTTATAACGCTCTATAGGAGAACACGGAGAAGGAGAGAGGGCCAATGTCACCTCCATAAATTGCCGAAGACCTTGTTCATATGGACCGGAACTCACCATCTTGCGACATCACGAAGTTCAGATCAGTTCAGTTCTTACAATCAATAACCATGCACTTTCGTGTGCCGGTTTTGGTTGCTATCTTTTGGGTGCCCATTTGGATAAAGCAGCTGAATGAAGATTAGAATGCTGAGAGTGAATTCGAGCGAATTTATAGAGTGATGTTACAAGAATAATGAGTGGATGCACGAGTGCCACTGTTTCCTACACCCAATCATATCACTCATTGTCTCTAACCATCGCTGAAGATCATCTCGGGGTCCCCAGCTAGGCAGTCTAACGGGGCCTGTGTGAAATAGTCCCCTATTTAGGGCTTTCATACCCTCATGCCAGGTCTATTGGACCACCCTTGACCTTTTTCCAACCGCTAACTGCCTCGGAAAACATCGCTCGCCGTGGCGACCTATACGGTGACATGCGTAACACATGTCGCAACCAGCGTAATCTATGAAGGTCGATTACGTGCTCTAGTGCATGACCGCGACTGCCTAAAACTCTACGCCTAATCTCAGCATTGCTCGTCCGGTTACCCAACCAGATTCGTGCAATGCGACGTAGACAGCGGTGTTCGAACACTGACAATCCATTTTTATCCTGTTCCCGTAGTGGCCAGGCCTGTGCAACGTAGAGGAGTACTGGCAGTACTGGCATATAATCGATCCTTCACAGATAGCCGGATGTCGCGACGGCGCCACAAATGTATCAAGCTGACACTTCATCGGTAATGCATCCGCCAGTTGAGATACAGATGCCCTGATGGCAAACTTATCCTTTTCCTCTACTAATTCCCGAGTCATGGTGAGACTGGGTGCTGGAATAAGCCAACATTGGAGCAACATTTTGCACTTTGAAGACGCAAAACGCATACCGGATATGGCTACACTAGCATTCAAACTTTACAGAAAAGCTTGAAAGTTACCTGAATCTTCACTTAGTAGCACAATGTCGTCCGCATACTCCCGATCAGGTAGATAAACACCTGCGAGTAAATCGATGCCACTATCCTCGCATAAGGATAGGACTGTTTCCATAATCAAATCTATAACAAGGTTAAATAGAAAACGAGACAGAGGGCAACCGTGTCGAACACCACTTCTGTGGTGAACTCGTGCAAAAAAGTGCCGTAAGATCGGACCTGGCTTAGGCTATTGGTATACAGTGCTCGTAATGTTGAAATAAACTTCTTGGGCACACTCTTCAGATCGAAGCAGCCCCAGAAGTTAGAACAGTCGACTGAGTCGAAAGCTGCTTTCAGATTTAGAAAGATAGACACGGTGAGTCTACGAAAAGAATGTCGGTGTTCTAGAACTTTACGAAGAGTGAAGATGTGGTCGATGCAACCCCGACCAGGTCAGAAACTAGACTGGTTCTTACGTGGGCACTCTTCACGTGCGGCAGACTATCGACGGAGTGTGATACAGGAGAGAAGTTTAGAAGCAATGTTGATTAAACTAATTTCTCAGTGGTTTTCACAAGAGGATCTGTCGTCTTTCTTTTAAATCGGTATGATTATCGATTCATAACATT